AACTTCAAAACATTCTAGAGTTGCCATGAGTGCGAGCGCAGGTATATAACGCCGCTGCTACAGCGAAGTCAGTTAGTTGCAAGTTAGCAAGCTACCAGACAAGACAAGTCAGTTGCAAATCAGCAAGCTATAAGTTCAGTTGTGTTAAGCAAGTTTTGTAAAGTGTTTAATTGCCTTAACAAGTATTTGTTAATTGTTGTTATTGCATAAATAAGTATTGTAAAGTGATCATTGTACAATAAAGTTAATCGTGAGCGTTTATTTAACAATCCAGCGATACGAACCTAGAGATTTTTGGTAAATCCTAAGGGCCGGTTACTCAATGTCTGGTTAACACTAATCTGCGGTTAAACATCGTTATCGACGACTTCGACTCCATGCATATAACGGGAGTCGGTAACGTCGATAACTATGTTTAACCGGAGATTAGTGTTAACCAGACATTGAGTAACCGGCCCTAAGACCGATAGAATACAATATTTTGCCGATTTATTTGAAATTCGGTTGAGTAACGCCATCGCAGATTTGTCGGTGGAGAGAGCTGAGAGAAATCTATCAGTATGTACAGTGACGGGCAAAACTGTAACATGGTGTAAAACTTTTTACTTCAGCCATCGCTATTGTTCCAAGTTCTAACGACTTTCATACTTGTGTTGTATATTGTTGGCACATCCCTACTCCCTCTCTCCTAACGATTTGAAGTCAATACAACAACAATAAAAAAACCAGCGGACAAAAATGTAAATTAAGGCAGATGTTACAGTTTTGCACTCATATATTTTTAAGAACTTAAACAATTACAACTTAACAATTTTCACGAAAAAAAGAACTACTAACACAATGTTCAGTACTCTTTTGCTCGTTTCAGTTCCTGGATGCGATTTGGCATACTTTATTTGTATCTCTGTAAAAATTGTGGAGGTATATCTTTAGTTTGCTTTCACAGCTCATGTACTCGATTTTACGGACTTTGATACTTTTAGTACTTTTAGTTGATTTCGCAAATTTTCGATGATATTAATGTCCGCGGATTGTGGAGGTCATTTCAAATTAGCAAATTTTTGCTTTTGTATCCAGGCTTATGTTCGCAGTGTGTTTTGAGAGATTTTTCAGCAGAAACTCTCATTTTTTCGACTACATCTTGCAAATTTTGTTGAAATATGAACAGATACTGTCCCTTACGCATAATACGTACTAACGGACCAACGAAATTTTTTAAATACAACCCCAAACTGTTATTGACCGACCAATGTGATTCACAGTTTGCCTTACATGATGCGCATGGGCTTAATTTGGGTCTTAGATCCAATACCATGCCCGGCCATCTGATTGAAAGCGATTAATTTAGTCTTGTCAGACCAGATAACCTTCAATTGAAACTTAAAAATATGTTTTTTATTGCATTCTGAACGGCCTAACATATCCCAATAGACAATGGTTCGGTTTTCGTGCGATGCAGCGAAATGCTGCCACACTCGCACATGTATTTTGATCAAATTTGCTTTTTTCTTCTTTACGATGCCTTTGCGCTTAATTTGGCAATTCTTCGCCTCGCTGTCTATTGATTTGCGTTAAAGTTTAATACCTTAAGCGCTTCTGTAATAGAGGCTGCATCGCCACTTGCTGCTAAGTTCACAAGATATCGTACCGTAATATTTTGTGACAGACTTCCTTTGTCCCTGGGAACACAGGCTATATTTTTTCTCAGTCTTAACATTTTCAAGTAGCAAATTCCACAATTTTTTGCCACTTTTCGTGCGGTCCCGCCTTTCCGCAGTAAATCTATTATTTACATTTATGGTTCCTGATTAACTATATGTACTGGTGATCACTTCTTCAATAAATTACAATATAGAAAAGTCATCTGACTTCCAACTAAGTAAGAGATAACTGTCAAATGCAAAACTGAGTGAGTGCAAAACTGTAACAACTGCCTTAATTTACATTTTTGTCTGCTGGTTTTTTGTTGTTCTTGTATTGACATCAAATCGTTAGGAGAGAGGGAGTAGGGATGTACCAACAAGAATATACAACAAAAGGATGAAAGTCGTTAGAACTTGGAAATATAGCGGTGGCTGAAATAAAAAGTGTTACACCATGTTACAGTTTTGCTCGTCACTGTATATGTTTTTTTTTTATATGCATATGCATATTACACAGGCAGTTCCCCAAAGGGGCAATCCCGTATTCCTCGGACTCGGACTAGTAAAACTGTCAAAAAATAAAAATTCGCTCAGAGCGAGAGAGTAACATTGAAAAGTACGGGATCGCTTTCTAGTAAAAAATCGTAACTTCTGTCAACTTCAACATAACCTCCAAATTTTGGTTGTAAATTTTTGCTTATTTTGTATGTAAACACACTCAGCTCACACATGTAAATAACCAAAAATACTTTCAAATTCATTAGAATCCACTTAAACAAGTAATTAAATACTTTTCAACATGAATTAGCAGAGTGCATTTTTTTTTACAATTTGGTTGCCAAACACACTACAGCTGATCGTTTGACACATTTACCAGAATTTACCAGCAAACAATTCTCGGACTAAAACTGGTAACTTCTGACAGAGAGAGAACCGTATTTACTCTCTTTTTTGTCCTCTCAATAGTCAGAGAACCGAGTACGGGATCGATTTCCAGTAAAATCTGACTGATTCTGACTAGTTCGGACTCGCACGGGATCGCAACTAAAATCTGATATGACGTCACACTTCTGTCAAAATTTTCAAGAGATAGCGGTACCACAATCAGCGTCACGTTCTGTATTTGTTTCACCATGGGTAAATCCGTCATGTAGTCAAGGATAATCGTAACCACAGTATATACAGTAATAAACCTTTTTGAGTACTCCTCTTAGGTAAAATCTGATCAGGGTTAATAACGAGTAGAAGCATGAATTTTGCGGATTCAGAGTTGTATACAAAATTACAGTGATATGAAAGGGAGCAACAACCGTACTATAACAGAGTGACACAGGTAATTTTGTAAACAAACACTTTTCTTATAATTTTAATAGATCATTGCTACTTATTTTGTAATATTCAGATATCCAGCTTGTAGCCAGAGGCAGTGGCATGAGAGGCTCACTAAAATCTACTCGTCATGTTGGAGCAGCTCCGGGTAATGGGCCATTGAATGTGCTGGCTGAACTTATGACCACCATAACCAACGGAGTCTCCGAACTAATGCATGCCCTGAATTTGTTATGCAATTACTATTGCATGTGTGTATGATTCATATTTGTGGCATTATATTCTTTAATTTTAAGTATTTTTGAGGAATTCCGGGTAATGGTCGATCAAAACTTGGGTGTGTTCAATGAACTGTCTGGGCGGATGCGCTGGCAGGCATTGGAGTCTCTATAACTACACAAATCTTTTGTTTTTTTTTTTTGAATCAAGACTTAGGCGCTGGCCCAATGCAGGCTTGCTTTGCACGCCTTGCATACTTTAATTTGCTTTGATTTACTTCAAAAACTCGTTTTGCCAAATGGCGGCTTGGAACGCTGTCAAAGCAACCAGCTGTGTAGTTAAAAAGTCAAGGTCGGTTTCCTTACACTAAAAATCATTTTGCCATAAAATTCCAGAACACTAAAAAAAAAAAAATACAAAACAATCTTCAGATTTATTTTTAAATGAATGTGAATTAATTTTTGCATTTCAAAGGAATGATAATAATTATACATACATACATTTAAACCTATATGTACATTTATTAGAAACAAAAAACTAAAAGAAAATCGATTTTTCAAGAGACGACATACCAGTAATTTGACATCATAAATATCGCTAGCTTTGTGTGAAAAGTTGATAAGTCTACATTTTATGAAGCCTTAAATTTTGACATAGAAAGTAAGAGAAATTAAAGACTAAGGTGCTTTTTTTTTTTCTCTCGTTTATATTCAATGAAAGATAAATTTTATAAGTCCAAAAGAGGCCCCGAATATGCAATAAGGCCAAAATAATACGAAATTTTTTAACAGAGATCGAATCCTTCTGATTTGTATGGAGTTTTGCTTTGCTTTAAACACGCAAAATGTTGTATTCAAAGTTCCTGTAAAATTTGTAAAATTGGACTTAGCAACTTTTCAGTTTAAGCCAGCGACATGTTAAATATAAATAATGAAACATAGATTACTTTTTATTAAACTTTGAATTACTAATATTATACATATATTTTGTTAAATTACGTAAGACAATTTTTGTACATAAAATTCTGCAGCAGTTTGTTTGAATTGATTTAGAACGGGAACATATCTTTTTGTCAAAAGCCTACGAAACGCTTTCAAATAAAACATTTGCCTATTTGAAACTTTGAGCCGCTTAAAGCAAGTGAAGCAAAGCTGCCATTTGGCCACCCTTCATACGTTTTAGTATATTCCAAATAACTTTTGACAGTTTTCAAAGCTAAGCAAGCAAAGCAAGCCTGCATTGGGCCAGCGCCTTTAAATATATTCGGAAATTTGGAATTTTACTTGGTAAATTCACTAAATAACAAAAAATTCAAGTTTTTCATAAAAATATAACCTTACAATGGATATTTTTTTTGAATTTTAAACTAAAGGCTCTGTTATGCATACTTGGCATTGCTTGAGAGTTGTCACATAAGGAATCTGTTAAATGAGCTTCGCGTGTAAGCGGTTACCCAACGCACAGCATTACATACGTAAAAGTCTGTTGGTTTTTGATTTCTACGTAAAAATGGTATAGCAGTGCATGCAATGCCAAGTGTGCATAACAGAGCCTTAACATTTAAGAAAGCTCCATTCAGTGCTATAATTACGATTTTGAGTTTTTAAATACAACGACTGCTTTATCGATCACAGGTTATATGCATGATGTCGAAAACGTCGATAGTGATGTTTAACCGGCAAGTAGTGATAACCAGATATTGAACAATCGGCCCTCAAATGTGAATCTAATGAGCCCCAAGTAGTTATAAAAAGTTCATAATATAATGTAGATACTTACTTTCAAAATCATGTAAGATGAAAGAATAGATTTGATGAGAGAACGTTTTGCTTTTATTTAAATGTTATCAGTATATATTGATATTTAATTTTATGTGGTGAACTTCCACTCTACTGTTGAATTTGTGTCCCGGCGTCGTCGAAAACACATGTAGATTTGAACTGGTTTGCTGGGCCTCTCCATTTGGAAGATTTTTCCAGAAAGTTTTATGACGGATCTTAACGGTTTGACTGTTCGAAGTCGGATCGTTTCCTATGAAAATTTTAGTAGCATTTGCAACTAAATTGCATACTCAATCTAAACTTTTGCGGGTATAAGAAGTGATAAAGAACGTTTTTCATAGCACAATGGAAACAAAATATGATTACTTATTTGAACTTCTTGAAAATAACTGAATCACGAATTGTTTCAAGTGAGATGATTTGGAAAAATAGACTATTTTGTTTATAAAAAAAATATGAGTTTTTAGATATTACTTTGGCGATGATTTTTTGATTTTAAATTCTTTGAATTATTTTAAGTAAATAGAAAAAAAAAACATATGCATCTTCGCCAAAAGCTAAGGACAACCCGAAACGATATCATTAGGTTAGCTAGAAATACTTGCCATTTTTTCGAGTTTGAGAACGATGCTAAATGAAATTTATTTCAGCTTCCGTTCAACATGCATCCACCTTTTGCATGTGTTGAAACGTAATAAATTTCAAATGCAACGAAGTCCTAGTGAAAATTTGGTTATACAATACCAATAATTGTTTAGTAACGGCGTCGATCACGACTACGAGAACGGCGATCACTGGATCGATTACGTCTTTGATCCCTTTCCCTTTCTCTATCCCTTCGTTCGTTGGTCCGATTCCTTTCTTTTTCCCTTTCCTTCCCTTTCTCCAACTCCCTCTGTTTAACGCGCAGTTTATGTTCTTCAAGTCGTTTCTGTCGGAATGCTTCTTTTTCAGCAATCTAAAACCATTGCAGAAAAGTTAACTTTACTAATAGCAGTTTTATAACAAAAAGCATTTTTATAAAATACACAGATAGATATGTACACAGTATAATATGTACATATTAAAAAGAAAATATGTTTTTATACCGCATCTATGTACTTTAAATTGTCTTGGGTGATGTTTAAATACGTTTATATGATCTGGTTGAGGGAGCATCCATAAATCAGGAATGATTTTAAAAGGGAAAAAGTGGCAAACGAACACTATGCACGGTGTGCTTGAACCAATTTTAAATCGAAGGCCATTGCACATAATTATTTTTTTTTTGTTTTATGTGTGTTATAAATAACATGTAAAAATTGTATAGCCCATAACTTTTCCGAGCCCACTGATGCCATATGTAGGGAAAATTCCCTACTTGTAGGGTTTCATCCTTAAAAATGCGTGCGAAAGGAAAAAGGGCAGATGTTTTTCATATCTTAAAATGCAGGGAATTTTTGAAATGTGAATAAAAATATTTTGCAACATAAGTATCTATATTGAACAAAATAATTGTTCGCAAGCCTGCGCATGTTACGCCAGATATCGATAAGCAAGGCGACATTATATACATATCGTCACCTAAGGATGAAAAGGAGCCAAGTTCGTTTTTTTTTTAATTGTTCAGGGGAAACGAAAAATCTATGTAGTTTCGTATTACCAATCATTCTGCATCAAAACTAAATTAAAAAAAAAAATGGACTTGGCACCTTTTCACCTTTTGGTAGCGATATGTATACCTATGAATTCGCCTTGCCGATAAGTGTGGAACTTTTGATTACTGTTGATATTGGAACTGGAGTGAATTGTGGATCCAATTTTGACGATTAAAGCTGAAGATTCCACTCTAAAAGTAAATAGTTCTTTAGGTAATGGTAGAAATTTTTGAAAAAAAAAAACAAAAGCGGTTTTTAAAAAAACTCATTTTAAATAATTATTCGTTTTATTTTAAAATTTTCATTCACTCATATTAGACTACTGATTTAAGCATTACATTGGGACTTTTTTCCATTTATAATGGGAAGGAAACATTAGCTAGGCTGCAAGACTCGTAATTTATTTTACTTATTATGTAATACATACACTGGCGATCAAAACAAAGTGTTACGGTAACATAAATTTTTTAATAATAAGCGGATGGCTTTGAAATTTTCAGCAAAACATAAGCCAACTCTTAACTCAGTTTTGAACTTTTCTATTTTGAGATTTTAGAAGGTTGATATCAACAGGATTTAGGAGGCTCTCTAGTTTTCATACATCCGGGAATGCTCTCTGCTGAGTTTCCTATGATTTTACTTGGAAGATTATCCGATTATAATTCTAATCGCCTCCAAAGCTCTTCTAAGTTACTCGGAGCTCGCTTGTGCTATACCACCAATCCATTTTTCGATGGTCCGAACTTTGTGCTGGCCACTGCATTACATGAAAATGTTGCTCAAGCAGCCACCGATGTCGATACTTTTCAGAATGCTTTGGATCACCATCCTGCTAGCAAACGACTTCTTCCTCAGGGTATGCGCTTTTGTCTACAAAGTTTGGCAAATTTGTTTGGAGAATATGGAGATATACTTTCTTATTCATTATTCCTTTCATATTAACTAATATCACCAAATGCCACCAAGTAAAACACCCCCAGACTATTAAGCTGCAACTGAAATTTTGTAAAATACACGAGAACTGGGGCTTAGGGGACTGAAAAAGGGTAATTTGATCTGATGGAACGAAAATTAATTCTTTACGGATTGATGGAAGGGAATATTTTTGGGGAAGACCTCATCAACATCTTGAAAAACACCATATCAATAAAAATGTCTAACATACCACCGCTTAATTGTTTTTGGGGTGTTTTACTTAGTGGCATTTGGTGCTGTTAGTTAATATTAAAGGAATAATGAAGAAGGTAGTCTATCTCCATATTCTCCTAGAAATTGGCCACTTCAACAGCAGAAGCCGTGGGTGGAGGTCCAATTCTCCGTATAGTTTTGCTTCAAATTGTGTGTGTCAAAATATTTTTGCATATTTGTGCAAAGTCAGTTTGTGTTGTTTGTTCGTTTCAAAGTGGATAAGGTGGTGAGTCATTTCATAGCTTTTGTATACTTTACCACAGTGGAAGGAAAAAAAAGTACATAAATTATTAGGGCGTTCTTGAATAATCGGCGTTGGACGGGGTGTTAAATATGAGTGAGTCGGACTCCGGGCTAACCTCAAATTGGTTTGAGGCTGGCAGGAATCAAAAAAGAAAAGTATACAACAGAAAAAGACAAAACAAGAACAAGACGGACAGAAAACTGGACTCTGGGACGGAGGACGAAAACCTTAAACAAAGTTCGGACAATTTTATAGCGTTTTCTTTTCTCGAAAAAAGGCTGCACTTATTAAGCCTTGTGTTAGCGTCACATTTTCATGTTCTTTTCTCAGCCCTTTCACAAGGCGTCGTGTTCTTTTCTCAGCAGGTTGCGCTCTGATCCGGCGAAAGTGCTGCCTTTTCTGCCCTCAAATAAACGTGAGGGTGAGTGTTGCATGGTTAATTTTTAATTTAATCTTGTAAAAATGTAATTATTTTCCCTATCAGAAATAAGTGTTTTGCTTTAAAATTGTTAAAGACTTACAGGCCAAGTGAATAATTCAGCTTTATTAAGTTCTATAAATAAATTGTGATGGGGTAGTATATTTTCTGTTTCATTCTCATATAAAGAACGCAACATTTTCTCAGGTTTCAGGGCAACGCAAAGCAAGAGTTCTCATATAAGAGGGCAGAACTTTTTTTGAGAAAAGAAAACGCTATTAGTAAAAAATCGAAAAAATACACGAATAACGGTATTCCACTACCACCGTTACAGGGCATACTAGTGCTAAAAGGCACGCATGATTCAATAACTACAGATTGTAGCAATCGTACAAAAACAACATTTACTGTACTGGTATGAACTCTTTGTGTCAACAACAGACCCAAATATACAGTTATTCTTTTTACGAGTTAAACTTGGCCAAATATTTTTTATTCCGAAATAAAAGTCCTTCACGTGTAATAAACATACCGCTTACCGAAATTATTGGTATCAAATGAAAGAGGACTTAAATAGCTTTAAAACTAAAATGTCTAAACGAGGAAAGCCACATTTTGATATTTCAATAAAAAATATTAATTAATACCATAGAACAAACCTTGGGTCAGGTATTTGAACTTCTTTAGTTTTAAATTAAAAAAAATATATATATATATAAATAGAGGTGGTAACTTGCAGTCGTTATTTCTGTTTAAAAGCTACTTCATTCCTTTTTCATGTGATACAAAATTTGTTTAATATGGATAAGCGGTTTGTTTATTATCCGGAAAGGACTTTTATTTTGGAATAAAAAATTTTAGGCCAAGTTTAACTCGTAAAAAAATAACTTATTTTCGATCTATTGTGCAGTCAAAGAAGAAAGGTTAAAAATGAATTACAAAAACTAAAATCGAAAAACACTGATGACGTTACAGGGTCTCCAAAATCTGAAACAACCAAAAGAATGAGGATGAAGAATTCTTTGGAAAAAAACGGTGTTTAAACATCGATCTTGCTATGATGCTAGATTGTAAAGATGAAAGTCAGGAGGATACATCCGACATTTGCAGCCCAGATGCAATTCTTAAAAAGGAATTATTGCAGTAAGTATAGCTAAAATGCCTCCACTGGCGCAGCGTCAATCGAAAACAATTTACAATTATGTCAAGTTACAAGTTTTTCAAGTTTTTCGCCTCGAGCTAGTAGTTATTTCGTGGTGCAGGTTTCATTTACGACCCTTTAAAAAGTTTTTATTAAATACAATGTTCCAATTCTTAAATTCAAGTACTGAAAACATTATTCAAAATTACTAACATTTTCCATTTTTTATTTACCTAAATCACCTAATTTACTCACCTAAATTATTTCTTTTAAACATCCGCATCCGCATTCGCATCAGCAGATGTCTAAAATTCCACATTCGCAACATCCTTAATGTGTATGTATACGCGGATATGTAAACAAAGCAAAACAGGTGATAATTTGACGCAAGCGTGCTCATAAGAAGAAGCGTGGCTTCCATAGCTATCATCTGTAGTTGATACGCCTTGAAAGGCACGTTTGCCAAAGCAACGAATAACGGTTCAAATGAAAATAACAAATGTGAAGTAGAAAAACAACAAGTGAAGATGGCAGCCGAAACCACTAGTGGCGCGCAAACAGCAACTATGGTTAGCAACACCAATACTAGTAAGCAAAACGAAAATGAAAAGTACAGTGGTCACTACTCAGAAAATCACAGAGAGGATTTTTGTGTCCTTATAGACACAAGCAAAAGCCCGCTGTGCAGTAATGACAATATGCAAAATGGCCTGTTACTTTGGAAAAAAATCAGCAATTTTAAAATCGAAGGTATAAAAAATATTAAAGCTATAGGCAGATCCTTAAATAAAGATTTTTTGGGTCATATATTCTAGCAAAAAGTGGCTTGATAATCCAGAATTAGTAAAAAATCGAATGAGACCGTTTATTCCTAGAAATTTTGTTGAAACGATGGGTGTTGCATGTCAAATTACCAAGTCCTTTTCGGAGGATGAAATACTAAACAACATCAAATCTGAAATAAACGTAGCCTCTGTTAGGAGAATAACTAGACGTGACCCAGACAACAGGGGCAAATTTGTACCAACTTTAAGAGTAACAATAAGTTTTCAAGGAAACGATTTGCCGGAAACTGTGGAGCTTTTTACCTAAAACTTAAGATCTCTCATTATATACAAAGAATCAATTGTGGAAGGCTGGGACATACCAAGCTCGGTTGCAAAGCAAAGAACAGGTGTGTATTATGTGGCAAAGAAGAGGGCTGCAGTAGCAAATGCATGACAAACAGCAACAGCTGCATTTTATGCGGCGAAGAAGGGCATAACTCGCTTAACAACAAGACGTGCAAAAGATGGCAGAAGGAGAAAATTTTAGAAGTTATGACAATAAA